AATTTGTACAATTTTGTTAGTTAACTTTTTCACTGATATATGGTATGCACTCTAAGATTTCTATTAAGTCTAAGTTCAGTAGACCTCAGTAGACCGTAGACCTACAAAACTTTGCACGAATTTGTACGGTTTTGTTAGTAAACGTTTTCACGGATATATGGTATGCAATCTGTTGTGTAATTGTACAATTCCCAACAAAATAGGACTAAAGATGGCTCAACAAACTCAACCAATAGGAAGATGGCTCAACTAACTCAACCAATAGGAAGATGACAATCAATAGAGAGATGGCTCAACCAATTCAATCGATAGGAAGATGACTCAACCTTACCACACGGTAACACGATAACTCCAGAACGCGCTCGTCCATTGCCAAACATCTTTCTTAGGCTCTTTTCCTGCAACAACGTTAAAACCGCAGTTACTAACAATTTAAATGGAACCCTCAAAAATAAATAAAATGTTTTGCTAGGTCGCTGGATAAAAGTCAAAGAAAGCTCAGCAGACGCGAATCTACAGGGGAGAGCGGGGCTGAATTATAAACCCGGGATAGGTTTTTAATTACACGGATATATTGTAAGCACTCTATTTCCAAAAGAACAAAGCAACTGTAATCTACCTCTCTGAATTCACTATAATATAAGCAATCACGTGCTGATTAATTCACTGAGAGCAAATGAATGAACATTTTGATTCCCATGGGTGAAATTTACTGGAATGCAAACAAACTTTCTACAACCTGTTTTGAGAGATCGTAAAATAACTACATTTCGTAACACACTGGATACACATCTTTTCATTCAGTTCTTTACAAGTAGCAAAAAAGAATCACCAATTTAAAATAAAAACATAAATTTTGCCCTCCAGTGCAGACAGGTGAGAGGCGAGTGTATTACCAATACCTTACCATTGATTTTTCTTCGAGACAGGTTCGTTCTGATTATTTTTGCATATACTCTTTTTTACTGACGTCCGCAAAAACTTGATTTTGTTTCATTCGACAAAAACCTCAGAGATCGTTTGCGACTGAGATAATTTATTTTTTTTATTTATGATTAAGTTACGAGTGTATTATACCTGATATGGTCGTAGAACAGTTGTTGGCTTCAAATCCATACTGGGATAAAAAAGTTGTAAAATGGATTACATGCAAAATACACTGAAAAACTAAGAATGTTCATACGTTTACTTCTCCCCTGAAGTATTGATAAGGACAGAAAAGCCTCGTTAAAAATGCGTTCGCAATGGCAAACGAATAAGAGTGGACGGAGCCTTAAACTCACTTCAAATCAGCATTAACTGTGTCATTCTTGAAGTCATACTCGGCAAGTAACGGGTAGTCCAAATCAATACACCTTTAAAAAAAAAATGAAATATAAAACCGTAGAGTCATAAGATAATGAGAAAGAGCATAGTTGTTTCAAAGAGCTGGTTTCGACACCGACGCACAATGGGCTAGTTCTGCGCAAATCAAGCTGCCACTTTTTTTATAATTGGTCGTCACAATACTAAAAAAACCCACCAAAACAAACAGGAATTCTGGAATATCTTTTACGGGGTATAGTTTTCCACCAAAACATCAAAATACGATGGGCGAGTTTTGCACAAATCAAGAGGTCACTCTTTTCTGATTGGCTAAACCAACTTAAAAGACACAAAAATAATGAAACCGAAAGTGATGAGAAAGTAGATGCGAGAGAGTCCGTGTCACCAAAGTACAATGGCGGGGGTCTGCATAAATACAGGTACCATTTTATAATTGTCTGATAGACTAAACTACATGTAGAAACAATACTGAAAGTCGTACTAAATTAGGGCTCAGTTGCAATTCAAACTACTGAATAAAATTCACTAACCTTCTTTGTAAAATCTCGATTTGTTCTTGTCTTATTTCAAAGGAAAATATTTGACTCTACAAACGAAAAAAGATCGTTATAAAACATCAGAATCATATAGAGCGTTTTCACGTGTCGTCACGGCGGCCATTATGGGGTACCAAAACAATACATTTTCTATCCTCCGGGAATTGAACTCTATTTTTATGCTACCCTGCGAGCAGAGGTTTTTTTTTTTGACCCTCCGTGGGTTGGCTTTCTGTGTAGAAAGTTTCTTTTGTTTATGGCTGCCTTCTCACGTGAGTGAAAACGCTCTATAGACCCGTTGCAGCACGTCGGAATGCAGCTCAATTTGGAGGACTCTCAGGAGATTAAAACTCTTTTGTTTTGTCCTCCAAATTGAGCTGCTTTGAGGTCACAAGCAAGGCTGGGGTCTATAGATATGATGCTGTAACTTTATCCCATTTTTCCTTACCTCTTCCTCATCTTCTTCATCTTGGTCAATCTTATCTATGTAGTCAGTGATATCAGAAGGGATAGCTGTTTTCTCTTGTTCTCCCGGTTCCTAAAAAAATATATTAAAAAACTGTCAATAAGGTGAAAGGCAAAAAGGGCAAAAATATTTAAGGTTACTTTATTCCATTTTATTCCAACAAACCTGTGAAGAGTCTTGAGCTTTGGAAGAATCTGCTGTGTTGTTTTCTTTCTGCTTAGAATTAAACTTAAGAAGAAAGATAGACTTGTCAGTAGGTTAACACACAGCAGGAAATATAAACCCTTCTTAGCTCGGACATAGTGTTTTCTCAATATTCTAGACCATGTGTTATTCTTTTGAGAATAAGATTCTTTGTATGAGTTGTATCCATATTCATGTGTCTTCTCATGTGCAACCATTAAACAAAGAAATGATACTCAAGGGAATGAGACATGGTCTGAAATGGAAAAAACATTCATGTCCAAGATAAAGAGGTCGATTACAACCCAACATATATCAAATAATTCTGCACTTGTCAATGTTACATCCAAGGACAAGGTTTGGAAGTGCAACACTCAAAATACAGTTAATGAATAATAAGTAGTTTCTTCAGCTACATGGCTGGTATCCCAGGAAGCCAAAGGTGCAGGCTTTAGCCCCTCTCTCCATCAGGGCCCATTTGTATGAAGCCTGGATAACACTATCCGGCAGATAAATCCTTATCCAGTGGATAAGTCAATGCTGTTATCAAATAAATTTATCCACTGGATAAGATTTTTCTGTTGGATAGTGCTATCCAGGCTTCGTACAACCGGGCCCAGTGCTAGTATTAAGAGTATTTAAAAAATGGAAGCTACATTCAGATAGAAGTCAAGATGTGGACATCTAACTGCGAAGGCTGAGCACCAACTGAGCTATACCTGCCCCTCCTGTTGTAGGGAATGTACAAATATTTAGTTTCCATGATTTTACTAATAAATTAAAATTCTCAATACCTTGATAGCAGACCTTCCTTTATCTGTTGATTTTAGTATTTCACTGACTTCAGGTGCATCACCTTCCTCTGGGATTATCCTACATGACTGAATCACCTCATYTCTTAACAGGGTCTGGAGTACCTCCTGAAATGTTGATTTGAATAACCAACCAAGAGATGAGTGAAGAATGAATGATGAACCATTTGCATTAATTTAATGTAATTGATTTAATTAAGACCCTGAGTGTTGGTCCGGCCAGAACTGGAACCCTGACCTCCGACACGAAAGTCTGATGCTCAACCGAGCCAACTGGTTAACGAACGAACGAACGAACGAACGAACGAACGAACGAACGAACGAACGAACGAACGGACGGACGGACGGACGGACGGACGGACGGACGGACGGACGGACGGACGGACGGACGGACGGACGGACGGACGGACGGACGGACGGACGGACGGNCATCAAACAAACTCAATTCACATGTGGCGACTGCAGGGCTCGAACCAGCGACCCGACCCGTTGGACTCACAGCGGTGAAAGACGACGCGTTAGCCGCAAACGCCACCCATGCTACCCAAATATTCCCATTGTGGCTGTGAAAACCAGCAATTTGAGAATTATATTGCTGCTTTATTGAACCTATTTCATAATGGCAAAACAAACCAAACCAAACTTCAGTTTCACAAAGAAATTGCACACAAATGTGAACTTAGAATGCCATTTTTTAACACAACTGCCTCCGTGTATGTTTTTACCTTCATTAATGGCAGCTTTTTTGGACTGTTATTGTTGACATCAGAATCAACACATATTTCATCTTCACCTTTAAATATAAAACACAATAGATAAAAACCTATGAATGCTGAATTGTGCTAAGATTGAGTACTGACTTACCTGATGACACTTCTTTGGTGTCATCTAATCCTGAATAAGAAGCAAAGAGACTATTGGAGAGGAATGAGATTTGAGAACCTGACTGAATGAATAAATGAGTGAACGAATGAATGAATGAATGAATGACCAAATAAATCCAAATGAATGAACCAATGGATGGGTGGATGGATGGATGGATGGAAGGATGGATGGATGGATGGAAGGATGGATGGACGGACGGACGGACGGACGGACGGACGGACGGACAGACGAACGAACGAAATGGATGGATGGAATAGAGATTCTGGCATCCTTTCTACAGTACTCATGTGTATAGCTATATTTTTCTTGACAATGTACTTACCGGATGGTTGCTTTCTACAAAATATTGGTTGCGTTTAAGAACCAGTTTGACTTTACCATAGCTAAGGGTACACAACTGCAATTAACAAAAGATAAAAATAACATCAAACAATACCTACAACAGTTGAAACCATGAATACCAGAGATCCCTGCTCTTAGTTTATTTTCTCTTTAAATATCTCTTTATTGCTTGGTTAATTATGATGTCATTTCCTGTCCCATGCTGAATATTCATTAATTATAGAAGTCTTCAACAGCATTTTTTTCTGGCTGACAGCAAATGGTGGTCAGTGTTTAATGGTCATTTACAGCAGGAAATGACATTAAAAGACCATTTATCAGCTGATTGTAATCAAGCAATATCTTAAATTACATGTTGCAGCAATTGTTTGCCTTTTCCTCTCATAGCTAGACATACAAATCAGATTAATTTTACTAAATTAAAATAATAACCTTTATAAATTTTTCAATTCCATCAGGAATGGTTGTCTTGCTCAGCCTTCTCAAGTATTCTATAATATCACTAGTCTAATTAAGAAAATGCATAAACTCAAGATTAGGCGAGGGCTTTCTAATTTACAAGGGCGTGACCCATAATAATGCCCTACATTTAAGATGGCCACCACATTGTTGGAGTAGTCCTTTGTCAAACTGGTGCTAGTCTGGTCAAATGCCTCTTAGGTCATTCCCCTTGCATGACCAGCTGTTATTTGTAGAGATAGTGTATATAGAGAGTCATAAAATAAAAAGATTGAAAATTTTAAAAAAGGGCTTGACAAAAAATTGGGTCTGACTAGGGATACCTGTAGATTAGATTATGAAATTTGCACCCAATGTGGAAGAGGAGAGATATTGAAAGCTCCCTTACTATCAATAACTGTTTATCGCAGGTCTAAAAATAAGTATGTAAATGGCAAACAGACACTTGTCTGGCCAAATGTCTCCTATCTAGACCAGTCCTCTTGACAATGCAGACCATCCATCTGATGTGGCTGGTAATCAGAAATGGTGACATCATTTCATACACAATGCTGTTATACATTACCTGGAGGCCAACTGAGACAGCAGCATACAGGGAATATGCAGTTAGTCTGTATTCGTGTATGTGTTCTGGTCGGCAAACAGGCTAAAACAAAACAGTTTTAAAACAACAAAAAATAATCTAAACTATAATTTCTATAAATCCTGTACAGGATCTTGGACAGGGTCTTGAATAGGATCCAATAAAATCCTACAAGATCTTGATAAGGATCCTACATGATCTTAATAGGATCCTATAAGATCTTGAATAGGATTGTGCCTGTAGGATATTGAGTAGGATCTTGTGCAAGATCCTATAGGATGTTATAGGATTCTATTCAAGATCCTACAGGATCTTGAAACAGGATCCTGAGCAGGATTTGCACCAGGGAGGTTACAGATACTGTTTTAAAAGTGGCACAACTACTCTCCACTAAAAATATCAGTTATAGTTCTGCATAATTATAGGGTACATTTGTATGACAGACAGACTTAGAAACACAATCATGGCAAAGTAAAATACCATAAAACTTAATTGAGTGACAACATACTACATGTACTTTGATCTAATCGCGTGCAGCTGCATTTGAAATTCTACTAATCTAACCAAAATGCTCATTGAAACAAAACTTACCTCTGATATGGCTATTAAGAAATCATGTGCATGCTTGTAGACAGGAGAAAAGGATTCCAAAAATATGTGTCCATCAGGTGCCTAAAGATAAGAATTCCTTTGCAATAAATAAACAGTCTTTGGTTTGACTGGAGTTTGCTCTTAACTATTTATTTAATCTGTTACAAAGTTTATGACTTTATTAGCTTAAGACAACTTGACTTAGATAACTTGACAACACAGCTTGAAAGTATGAAGTGAAAGGATGTGAATGTAGTCAATAGCATTTAAAGTAGCATACAGTACCAGATATTTTTCAATGTCTTATTTATTTTAATTTTGTTTAGATAATTATTAAATTATAAAGCATCTATCCATGTAATATCTAATAGATCTATCTAATTCACTGTTTTCCACTTTCAGAACACATATCATTCATTCTCTAGAGTATTTATTATTTCTTTGTTTAATGGTTGCAAACGAGAAGACACACAAGTATGGATACAACCCAAACAAAGAACTTTTTCTGAAAAATACTGAATAATACATGGTCTGAAATGGGAAAATATTATGCCTACTATTAGGTCCATTCAGACTCAAAATACATATTTGGTCCACTCACCACCCAGAGAGGTCTTGAGGAATGGTCTGGCTTGAGTTCGATCTGCTGTCTGTAGTCTCTTGCACCAAATTCATCCTTAAATTAGTTCATAAATTAGTTCCTAAATAAATCATCCTATGGTTCATCTTGAGAGTAGACACATTTACCAAAACACACTAGAATCATCACAACATTCTTCAATAAACATACAAGCTAGATGAATAGATGATAATTCTTTCAGTTAAGAATCATTGTTCCAAAAAGATTTTCAATTCAGGGACCACAGAGCATAATCTTGATTGGGGGGCTAACAACTTCTGAAGACAACAACCAAATATTTTTGCCAGAAAAAAAAGCACAAATCAAACTGAGACCTTTGGAAGTGCAATTTCTAGTGTTTTGAGGGGCATTTACAACATATTTATTGCATTGGCTATTGGTAGTTTAAACAGTAAACAATTAACTAAAAGATGGCAACAAAATTATTTGGGAGAGGGGGGTGGGGCGATAGCTAGCCCCCTAGCCCACCCCCTTCTACGGCCCCTGCAATTGAACTTGTTTACAGTGTCAGCTATTGTCTTACTCTTACGCTACACAGTAATCTATTTACTCACCTCTTGATTTTCGGATTTCAAAGCAGCTCCAGATGATTTTGGAATACATTCACCTAATAGATATTTGGAATACAACTTACAGATCAATACTATTATATACATTTAATGACAAAAATGAAAATAGAAATAACAGACCTCTCTAGCTTTGGCATAATGTTTTTACCCAGCCATTAAAGACCATATTATTCTCTTTAAACTATTAAAGAGTCTTTGTTTAAGTTGTATTATATTGATGTGTTTTCTCATGCACAACCATTAAACAAAGAAATATTACTCTAGTACACTGATACTTGGTTTAAAATGGGAATCAATTACACCCAAGTTATAACTAGAGCCTGTTTCATTTTAGTGCCCAGACAAAAGTCATATATGTGCAAACAAACATTTAGAAATGTTGGCATCAAAATATTTGACAAGAACTTTAGGAATTAAGATAAGGTTATGAAATTCCCAGAACGTCAGAGAATGACATAAGTAACTTTGCAGTATAATAATTATACTCTCCTGAAATAAATATCATTACCTTCTTCAGTTAATGATTCCTCCTCATCTTCAAATTCATATTCCTCCTCTTCTACCTAAAAAATTGTATCAGGAGAATTTGTTATTTTTATTTTTTCTCAATTAGTATCATAGAAAATCACACAATCTTGAGTACAATTCTGAATTTATAGGTATGAGTGATGTTTTGAAAGTTTTCAAAATTGGATGAGCCTTCAGGATAGCTCAATTTGAGAACATTCAAAACATCACTCGTACCGATAAATTCCAAATTGTACGAGAAGATCATGTGATATTGTCTTTATAACACATGCAACAAAATTGAGCAACTTAATTAGGATTCTACAGATTACAATTTGGGATTTAATTGTACTCCTTTTATCCAATCAGAATAGAGTAATTTTGTTGAGTGTATTATTAACCCTCTTACCACTGTTTTCATCATATAGGTGCTGATCAAGGCAACGGTTGGAATCTGGCATTTACATACACTGCCATTAACACGCAATATCAGAATAATTAATGTAAAGTTACCCAACGATTTATTTGATTGACAGCAGTCCATTGCCTGATCTTCCTTTCTAAACTGTTGTCTTGGTCATTGTGTAGCAATGAAAACTAATAGCTTATGTTTAAAGTTTACCTGGTATTTAACAATAGGCCATTTCACAGATCCCGCTTGGCTCAACCTCAGCCTCATCAGCGTGTAATATATTCTTTAGAAATTGCCTACAACCTGTGAAATTTTTAAGTGTTTCAATTGTTCGTTGATGTGTAAATTCCTTTCATTACTGCTGATTGTAGTCAAATTCTAAAGAATAATTACACGCTGACGAGGCTGAGGTTGAGTAACGGGATCCGTGAAAAAGCCCATTAGACCCACAATCCAAATGGCCTAAGAGTCAATAGCTCATGAGGCCATACATTTTTTGCTACTAGCAGTCTATCACTAATGCCATTGCAGACTTTAATTCCACTATAATAGTAGCTTTCAGTCAATCGGAGTGCAGGATTTGTTATAGAACATTAGTATGTTCATACTAAATACAATTTAGACCATGTGTCATTCTCTTGAGAATAAGATTTTTTGTTTGAGTTGTATCCATATTCATGTGCCTTCTCATGCACAATGTTAAACAAAAAAATTGCTTCTCGATAGGGAATAAAACATGGTCTTAAATGGGAAAACATTAAGCTGAAACTATAAAAATAAACCCAGAAATGAGAAAATAGTAGGACAGAATAAACCCAGAGATGGGAAAAAATTGGGATAATAAATTCCAAAAAAAAATTTCATTATTTCACAAATTTCCATTAAATTTCATAATTGGGGAAATTTTTTTGAAAATAAACTCCCAAATAAATCACAGGGATTTTTATGTTTCATTAATCGGGATATGGTACCTGCATTCATTATCAACAACTTGAAAACCCAACAAACCCTCAAAAAAGATCCCTAAAAACCCCATAATTTTCCCATATAGGAAAGTAAAGAAATCTTTCCTGTTATATTCCGTGTGTATTTATATTAATCTGATTTTCGATTGATAAAAGTTAGGTATTTCAAAAAAATCCACTAAAAAAGTTCGACTGTACGAATAGAAATGAATGGTCAATGCCAATATTGAAAATATATGATTGTCAAAAACTGTTTTTGTGATGGATACAAATGATAAAAATTATTACATACTATAAGCTTACCTGGGTTTTTCCTTTCTTAGATTTTTTAGAATTTGATGCTGTAAAGTACAAGATTAATTAAAAAGAAATTAGAACTGTTTTTCTATCTTCATTGATTCACTCTCGAGCTAGCAGTTCAGTCCAAAATGGCGGGGGAAACAATTGCGTTGACTTGCCTTCGTCTCGCTTTCGCTTTTGTGGTTTCATGATCTAGATATTAAAATTTCTAGTTAAATAAACCAACATAAGTGACTTCCGTAGACGTCTCTGCTTCACTTCTGCTCTGCTTCTATGTAGTTTATCGTCATTTGCTTTATGAGTGATTTAATATATCGTCGAACAAGCAAAAAAATACAAAATATGGCAGGCGTTTGTGTGACAGGCCGAGTGTAAACTAAGTCCAAGAACAACTATTATACTATGGGGAGGACCCTTGAGAGAAAATTTGTGGTCAAGTATTTTAAAAGGAAAACAAAAAACAATACCAAAGAAAGAAATACCTTAAGAACATAAAAATTAGTTTGAATTTATTTGCAATGCCCTTTTTTGAATTTTACAATTAAGAAAAACTAGAAATTTGATTAAGGAGTTGACAAACATACCCTCCCCTCCCTTTCTTAAAAGTAATTACCGTCTTTTTGATCACACAGACACACAGTACTGACCAAGAGGAACGTGGGCCACGAGATCTCGAACACACCAACACGTGTAGTATTTTTACTACTGTACTTGGAAATATTTAGGTATGATTTTTCCTTCCTTTTAGAAGTTACATATCCTTTAGAAGAAGCCCTCACTTAACGCGCAGGTCAAATACGTCAATTTAAAACTATCTGTTTGATTTAGTCGCTTTATAATCTTAGCTTCA